CTTTCTAAAATTTACATTGTGATTCTATTTTCTTCTTGAACTCATGTAAACTTTGGGAGTTCTGACCTTGACAATTAACTAAACTGCAGAACAGGTGTTTTCTATGATATTTTAAATGAAATACAACATTAGATGCTTTGTTTTAATGGCCCATGAAAAAAAGAACGCAGGAAAAAAAAGCAGCCTTCCACAAATAAATAATCCAAAAATGACTTTTTCTTAGACAAACAAAGGTGATATAGTGGAGGAAAAAAGATCTTTCAACAAATGTCACTGGAGCAATTGGACACTTGTATACAAAAAATAAACTCAGTGTTGGGGGATGTAGCTCAGGGTGGAGGGCTTGCTCAGTACACAAACGACCCTAGCTTTAATGACCAGAATGACAAACAGAGAAGCAGGCAGGCAGACATCTTCCATTGAAACCACGTTCTATTTGAAATTATGATATAAGCTCAAAATGGATCATAAATCTAAATGCAAAGCCTAATCTATCAAGTGAATGATCAAAAGCAGACAAAACCAAAATTTCTTAGATATAACAGTGTACCAAAATTTGACATTGATCTTCATCAAAATTCTAAACTTCTGTTTTTCAAAAGACACCATGACCAGGCATATTAAAAGGACTTGACCATACCAACTGCTAGTGAGGAGGTGGAGCAACTGGAACCATTGTATGTGCTGAGGAGAGGGCTACTGGACATGGATGCTAGAAAACTGTATTTAGCCTGTGACACAAGCATTTTACTCCCAGGTATTTACTCAAGGAAATTGTGAAACTATGATCTATACAAAGACTTGTGTACAAATAGTCATAGCAGATTTATTTATTGAAAAGGCTTTTAAACTTACTTTATAGTGTGTGTGTGTGTGTGTGTGTGTGTGTGTGTGTGTGTGTGTGTGTGTTTTGCTTGCATGTATCTATGTATACCACATATATGTCCGGTGCTTTTGCAGGTCAGAAGAGGGTATCAGTGTAAGCATTATAGCTCATCCTGGCAGCTGGGAGCCAAGGAATACCACAAAGTCACACTGCACAATCAACCTCACACAAGAGATTTTTTTGGGAGGGAAAAAACCAGGAGGGTGGTTGCCTCTGCTCGGGCAAGAAACAGCAGCAAACTGAACAGGATACAGGGCTTATACAGAGTTTCTTGAGAAGGGGGTGGAACTTTTCAGGGTGGAGCTTTCCAGGGTGGAGACTGGTCGGACATCAACTTCAGAGATGAGGCTTTTTACTCTGTAGGGTGGGGACAGGGTCCAGCAGTTAGGGCACTTAGAATATTCTGTGGGTGAAACCTGGCAGGTAGAGGTCCTTGAGGAAGGGGCGGCCACTCATGTGGCTTGAGGGGCTTATAGTCAGTTGTAGATGGTTGTGAGCCACCATGTGAGGGTTGGGAACTGAACCCAGGTCCTTTGCAAGGGCAACAAGTGCTCTCAACTATTGCACCATCTCTCCAGCCTTCTTGGCTCCATCAGCAGCTGAGTGAGCAATCCAATTGTTGTAAAGCTGAACAATGGAGTAGTCATAAGCAATAACAGATATCAACTATTGACAACTAAGCAACATGAATAATGGAGAATAATTATGCCCATGGAAGAGCCAGACTAAAAAAGAAAATAGACTATATAAGCCCATTCATATAAAACTCTGGAAAATGTAAACTAATCTCCAGTGAATGAAAGCACATTAGTGGTTGTCCAGGGATGGACTGGATCCAGAATTGAAGGGAGGATTGTAATGGTGGAGGAAGAGACCGTTGGGAATGATGGTTGTGTTAATTATTTTAACTTCAGGCATTATTATATCTGTAAGTATGTACATTACCACTTACCACTTTAAGAAATGAAATTCCTTCAATGTCAGTTAAATATCAACGGACCTAAAAGAGAACACCAACTGACTTAGACATTGCCATATTCGATACAGTTTAGTGATCCTAAGGAAATACGAACATGCCAGCCCAAAGTTGAATGAGAAATTAATTGTGTCTCTGAAAAGTTGAAGTTGTCACCAGGAAATGCTCCACTAGTTTGAAGTGTTGCTTGTTTCTTTCCATTTGGAAATGTAAAAATGACGAGAAAGTACTCAATATGTGTGCCAAATTGAAGCTGATTAACCTCTGACCTCTTTACATCATTTAAGGAGGCCGCGTGCATGCAGGCCCGAAGGAGCTCTGTCAAAATGCTGACTGCGAGGGGATTCCATTTCCACTACTCTTTGTTTTATTCCCAGCCCACCTAATTTGACTCTTGTGTTCACACAAGGCTGAGGGCTTTATCTGAATCCCAATCAGTCACAGTTGTTGGGAGAAGCAGCCTGGTTCTGGATTTTTCATGTATGAAAAGATGTATGTGCTCAACAGAAAATAAAATTCCCTTTCATCTCTGGTCAGGACAACTTAGTAATTACTATGGCATTTGGAGGAAATGCTGGTGTGATCATTTTGTTTAGATTATTTTTATTTTGATGAGCTAAGAAGCGTGAGTGACTTCAGGCCTAAGGTAGCGCATGAGAGCAAGCTGGCTGCATTTTATGTGGAGGGTACAGAGACTGAAAACAAATTGCCTACAGATTGAAATAATTTCCATGGGGTCACAGATGTCAACAGCCATCTCTCAGAATTGGTTTTCTTTTTAAACCGGACATTTCTTTCATGATGTCGTCTCGCTATGAAAATGAGCCTCACATAAAACATGTTTAAAGCCATTTGAGGGCCCCTGGGAGCTCTTAGTTATGTGTCATTCGTTTATAGTACTAATTTCTATCACTGTTATTATCACAGTCATCACTGTCATCATTAAACATTCACTGAATGTAAAATATTTAAGGGTTTAAAAAAGACACCAACTTTACATTGTAACGGTGCGGAATCAAAGGCTTCCTAACACCAGAGTTTCACTTAATCATGAGGCATGGCTCTATGTGGTGAAATTCAGTAATTCTCACATAATCGATAGAGACATAGTGAAAATTAGCTTTGCAAAGCAATTTTAGTACAACAGTTATTGGATGAAGGAGATCCTTCTAGAATCTTCTTACCTTTGTTATAGAAAGTTGATACAAAGGTTCTTCAAATCAGAGACAATATTTGGGGGCTTTATTTCCACAGAAACTGGTTGTTATGGGAAACACCATGGCAAGTGATTTTCTGATTCTTGTAGGAGACCAAGAAAGAAAACACAAACGCTTAGAGGAAAAAGGACTAGTCCAGTGGTTCTCAATCTGTGGGTCATGACCCCTTTGGGGGGGTCACATATCAGATATTTACATTATGACTCATAACAGTAGCAAAATTACAGTTATGAAGTAGTAATTTTATGGTTGGGTTCAGCACAGCATGAGGAAATAACTGTATTAAAGGGTCACAGCATTAGGAAGGTTGAGGACCACTGGACTAGTCTGTTTCCTCTCTCACGGCTAACACAAATCTACACATTCATTCAATTATGCTGATGGAGCAGCCAGTATCTAGGCATATGCATGTATGATGATCACTTTTTTGATGGGACTATGGCAGAATAGAGGTATGATATGGATATTGAGAGGGGTACAAGGGAGGTCCCCCTCCCCATGTTGGGAGAGTGGTGAGGTGTGAAGAACTTTCTGGAAGAGGTGATCCTTCAGCTGGGATCTGCAAGATAAGTAGACTTTAAGAACACAGAGTGGGGGAGAAGGTGAAGGAAGGCCAGGGCAGAGGCCAGTGCACATGAGTGCTCAGTGAAGAGAGAATGACTTCACATGCCTGTAGAAAGAATGTTCTAGTCTAGCTGGGGATATTAGACCCAATAGTGAAATATGCACCTGAGGTGGAGGCAAGGACCAGAGGAAGGTTTATGCAGAAGGTGCCCAGGGAGACATTAAGTCATCTCAGCAGAGGAGTCATCTTTTAGAATTTCATTTTGGACTAAAGGACTAAAGGACTACTGCCCAGTGAAAAGAAAATTCATCAGGTTTGAAAGTAGATTATCTGTGAAATAGTGTAATGAAAATTTGCCAAATACATGAATGTTAATAAACATTGTGGTTTATTTAGCCTAGTTAAGGTGTGTGTTTTGGGTGGTATTAATGCTGTTTCATTGGAGCACAGCCTTTGAAATAGACTTGCATTCATAGCTGATTGTATAACTTGAATTTAAGGCATCAGGTTGGTGGGCTGAAGAGAGGTGGGGAGGCAGAAGGCATTTCTATTCCACTCAACTAAGAAGAAACAATCCGTGCACTAAAATACAACACAGACTTCGTGAAACTCAGTAAAATGGAATGGGAAAGAGGCAAGACATGGACTAAGGAGAGAGATGCTGGGGTGGTAGGATGTTCTCACAGCTGGGAACAGCTGCATCTTTGAGTGCAAGATATGAGAGAGAGAGAGAGAGAGAGAGAGAGAGAGAGAGAGAGAGAGAGAGAGAGAGAGAGAGAGAACCCTACTTCTTTCCAAGACTCTGAAGCCTCTCTAGAAATTCTGTTATTGCTATTTACATCCCATGAGATTCTGGTCCTTATTTTTATTATCTTTGTAATCATCAGCTTTGTGACTGGGATGACAGTTGGCTCGATATTCAATTGACCACTGTAGAGGCAAGGAAGTCGCCAGAAGGCTGTAGACTGAAGTGGATGTGTGGTGCTCAGAGACAACCTGTGGAACTGTTCTCCACCACGTGGATCTCAACGATCAAACCCAATTCATCAGACTTTGTGGCAAAGAGCCTCTACCTGCTGAGCCATCCCATCAGCCTCCAAAGTAGACCACATTTTAGGGATGCCTTGAGGCTCAGATACCTTGGTGGTGGGCCATAGACTGTGTTAAATAGGGCATTTTACCCGATAATCAAAAGCATTTTTTCAATGTTTCATTTATTTGCTTTGCAAACCTTTTACATGTTGAAGTCCACAATCTTGTTTAATGAGCAGACTATTATTTGTGGAGATTAAACTGAGTGTCATGCTCTATGATTCTTATATCTTAAATCACGTCCTAGTTTTCCATGCTACATTACAGGATCATTTTGATTACAGAATTAGGTCTTTAATGTAAAGGATGGGTGTGCAATTGGACCTGTATTGGATTTACTACATATGTATTAAGTAAATATACATTTACTTCTATACATTAAGGCGTAGCTAGGCCTGTGTTTTTTAAGTGCTTTATGCATCTTTGATTGGAATTGAATGATCATAGTTGGTAAGCCATTATAGTGGTGACTTGTTTTAATTCCTTCCGGATTGTTTGTTAGTGAGATTTGCTTGAAGGGAAACCAGATGTAGAAAGACGAAACTACAGTGGCACATTTTTTTTTATTGTTTATCCTTTTATTACTGGAATCTGAATAGTCGTTTGCTCACTCTCTCTTTAGTTTATCACCAAGAACTTTGACCCCTTTGCTTATGCAGTGTACACACACACACACACACACACACACACACACACACACACACACACTCATTGTAATTAATTGGTATGTGTGTTAGATTATTTGATGGGAAATAACAAGGGGACATTACATATTTTATCAAAGTTGGCTTCTGAAAGCTGCATGTCTGAACAAGTAATCTTTTTTTTATCAGCAAACACTGTATTTTACACCATTCTAATCTCTAACAACTCAAATCCATTGCTCACTGTTGTTGGGGCATGACTTGAAATGGAGTGTTTCTTTAAGACTGTGCTGTGGATATACATATTGAAGACCATCTTAAATGCCTCCAAGACTTAATTAGTGGAACACTACAGATACACGGGAAATCCCCTTGTGGGAGGGTTCTCCATTATGCTGCCGTGCCTGACATGATTCAAACATGGTTTCTCTACTTTACAGAAAAGCTGGTGTGTAAGGTGGCTGTGAATTAGCAGAGCTCTCTCCAGATTCATGTAGCAATATAGGCACAGCATAACTTACAGATCCTGTTTGATTAAAAACATTGTCACTTTTGTCTCTTACTCTGCAAACACTCACCCCAGAAAAGTCAATTTTGTGGCTAGGGCCCATAAGGACCAATCACCCCCATAGGACAGTATGATAACTCAACAATATGTTGAAATCAATCTCAACATTTTTTCTTTTCTTTTTTCTTTTTTCTTTTTCTTTTCTTTTCTTTTTTTTTTCTTTTTTTTTGAGACAGGGTTTCTCTGTGTAGCTTTGGAGCCTTTCCTGGAACTTGCTTTGGAGACCAGGTTGGCCTCGAACTCACAAAGATTCACCTGCCTCTGCCTCCCGAGTGCTGGATTAAAGGCGTGCGCCACCACCGCCCGGCAACAATTTTTCTTAATAGATCCCTACCTTGTGATTTGAGACAGGGTCTCTCACTGAATGAACCTGGAGCTAACTGATTCGGCTAGACTGGGTTGACCAGTAAGCCCCAGGAATCACAGGCATGTTCAGCTGTGCCTGTCCTGGGGATCTGAACTCACCTCCTCATGAGTGTGTAGAGTGACCACCCCCATCCCCCTGCCCACTTGTGGCATTCTTTCAAATCACTCACCTGCTTGTCTGAAGCAGACACTGCAGCATTATAGCAACCCATGTTCTTAGAGCCAGGGGACGCTCAGCAGCACAAGTACCATGGAGATTGTCTTGGCCAGGTGTGAAGGTTTGACCTCTAGTTCAGGGTTTGAAAATAGTGGTATGCCTATGTTCTCTGGGCTTAAGGCCACATCTCTTCCATGCCAGGCATGCAGCAGGAATTTAGAAATATTTTTTGCTTACATTGAGGAATTCATCTGTAAAGTAGTTGACTAAATGGAAGAAATCAGTCCAAACCCTTTCAGGGCTTCCATGCCTGGTAGAAGTTCTTCAAGAATGTACATTTTCTGTAGCTCTTCCCTGTGGAGCTTTCAGCTGACTGGATGCCCATGGACACCAGCTGGGGTGGTGATGTGCTTTTAGAAACAGACGGGCTATTAGTAAAGTGGCTTCAGAAGGATGTTTCATTGTCAGAAGATTGTAACAGAAGAAGAAGGAGCCGTCTGTCCCACATGCTCCATTGTCCTGAGGTATGGGTTTCTTCTATCTCCTTGATAGTTTTCTGACTAGGACAGAGGCCTATATATCAAATTCTACCATTTACATTTACTTGAATCCTTTGTTAATTATTGTCTTTTTGCTTCATGGTTGTCCTTAATACATAAACTCACTTTTACAGAGTTTTCAACTAGGCCAAGTGTTGGGAGAGGAGAGCAACAACATGCTTTACCCTCATTTGGAACCTTTAGGGACATCTCTGTACAGGAGGCTCAGGAATGACCAGTGCTCTTTGAGAGCTGAGCAAAGAGCAGTTGATGAGAAGTTGTTCATGGGCCCTTGTTGTCAAGCTACTGCTTGAGATAGGTTTCTTCTGCACCTGTTATATTAAGGCCTATAAGGTTGTCAGGGTCATCAATAAAACTCAACTGGCTTGTTCTTCAAGTCTTGGGTAAGAGACTCATGTTGGTGAGATCAGTGTTAAAACTGATAAAGGACTCACATAAAGGAGGTAATTATGAGGAATGAGTGTATGTATAGATATATGTATATATACACACACACACACATATGACATAGTATGACATTTAAAAATCACTGTGCATCAGGAATTGTGTGAGATTTTTAAGTGCATTACCCCATTTGGTCTTCAGAATGTCCCATGAAATAAGTGCTATATTTACATTCATTATATAGGAGAAACATTTTGAGGAACAGAGTTTTGAGAGGGAGTATATTAAGGGGCAGAAAAGTTCAAATGGGGAGAAGTGGAGGATTGGAAAGACAACGGAAAGAAGCATAAAACAAAAGAGGTTTGAGAAAAATAATTTGGTAGATTCAATTAAAAAACATAACAAGGGGGGCTGGAGAGATGGCTCAGAGGTTAAGAGCATTGGCTACTCTTCCAGAAGTCCTGAGTTCAATTTCCAGCAACCATATGGTGACTTGAAAGTATCTTTAATGAGATCTGGTGCCCTCTTCTAATGTGCAGGCATACATGCAGACAGAACACTGTATACATATATTTTAAAAAAAGATTAAAAAACATAATAAGGAATCTGAAGGCGCAAGCCCTGTAAGACTAGACAATGCAGATCTGAGAAGCAATGGGTAGTAAACAGGAACTCCAGTGCTAAGTATGGGACAGCTGTTAGAATTCTGCTCTTACTCCAGCTGCATGACCCCACACGGGCAGTTCAGGAGTTAAGCAAAGGGTCTCGTGTCTTACGTCATCAGTGTGTACTGGTGATCACATACGTGCAGTGTGGTCGCACAATCTGAGCATGCACGGTGTGGCTCTGTAAACCCATCTGTGTCTTAAAGAGCCGTGACTCAGACCCCCACCCTCTCTCTCCTGTTCTGCTCTGCTCTCTCTCCCCACTATCGTCCCTCTCTCTGCACATGCTTTCCTCCCCAGGCCTGCGCCCCCTCCCCGCCCTTCCTCCTACTAAGGCTCTGAAACTAATACTGGGTTCTGTTGTGACCTTTCCGCACGGTAACCGGCACCGCCACCAGTGCCGCTTATCATCGGTAGTAGTTGTTTGTCAGGGAGACCTTCAAAACGATACAGGCTCATGCCCATTGGTTACCTACTGGAACCAGCTCATGAAGGACACTACGGCTGTAGACAATGCACACTTTGGATGCGAGACGTAGAGAGATCAAGCTGGTCCTGGGCTGGAAGGTCGTTCCCTGCTCTTTGACTCTCCCAGAGCTGGATGGTGCTATTCAGACAGTTGCGCCCACGGTCTAATCCAGCTGTGAACTACTCTGTGAACTACTGTACTGGCCCGCAGGACAAAATATGCTTGTTAGTGCAACGGTGGTGCAACTGTTGTGGGAATAACCACCCACTCCTTAACTGAATGTGGTTTTTCATTTAAAAGAAGGAATCCGTGCCTAATGTTGTCAACCTGGCCAAACGATCCGTGACTGGAAAGGTCTGAAGCCATGGGGGCGGGGTAGGAACGTAAGGTGACTGCTTAGCTGAATGGACACAGCATCAAACTATTTTCTACGTTTGTACCCATAGACAAAGTCCATTCTTATCCTTGAATGGAGAAACCTCGCCATGCAGGGAACAGAGGTAAATGCAAAAGCCCGTGTCTGTTTAAGACGCTGAGAAGGAAGGCCAGTTGAGGATTCAGCCCTACACAAGACCTTCACACAACTCCCTTAAGGCTCGGGGAACACGAGCCTTTACGGCTTCAGCCGAAGACAGGGCATAAAGAATGTAAGAATGATGGGAGAGGAACTTCAAGATACCATCTTCTAGGCACAACATGGTCACAGCAAGCAGGAACTAACGGCCGCTGTGCACACTGTTACTGGGTCCACAGAAGCCGTGCCCTCCGAACAACCGGCTATGGAGGGAGGAGGAATGCCTGGAGCCTTACTGCTTACGCTGCTCGATCGGCAGCCAACAGGTTCTGGGAGAGGTTAGAGCACGCTACCCACTTATTTACCCACTTATTTACCCAGCAGGCTCTTTCCGTCACTTTCTAATTCAAGATCCGAGAAACAGCTCTAGTTAAACTCTATGGGACACAAAATGAAAATCAGTAATAGAGGAAAGGGATTTGTAGTGAGGGAAGAGAACTATTGGGATGGGGAAGCGATAGGGGAGGGTCAGGCGAAGAGTGAGCAGGATATATAGTGTACAAGTGCGAAGCTGTGAAAGAGCAATATTTACTCCACAGAACTCCAAAACCAAGCCAAAAACAGACGGAATTTCCGGGTGGTAAGTACAAACAGCATATAAATCAAAAAGATTCCATTGACTGTGAGCCGTGCTCACATGTGCCTCTCATCTCAGTTCTGGAGACACAAGGTGGGAGGACCGTGAATTTGAGGCCAGCCTGGGCTACATTGCAAGAGTTCTAGGCCTATGTAAATTCTTGGGCTATCTAAGGAGACTCTGTCTCAACAAAATAAACAAGCAATCAGCACTCAATCAACTACAACCCAACCAACGGAATGAACAGCAGCAACAGTAAACAGAGCCAGATCTCCAAAATCAGAACAGAACAAAATATCAAAAAAGCCGAATCCTG